GGGGCGCCTGGGTGGCTTAGTCGGTTAAGCGTCTGACTTTCGCTTAGGTCATGATCTCGCGGTTCGTGGGTTCAGGCCCCGCGTCGGGCTCTGTGCTGACTGCCAGCTCAGAGCCTGGAGCCTGTTTCAGTGTCTGTGTCTCCCTCTCTCTCTGACCCTCCCCTGCTCATGCTGTCTCTCTCTCTCTCCTAGAAATAAATAAAACATTAAAAAAAAAAAATTCTAAATGACTAGTCAAGTAATTCTTGAATGAAGGTCTTTTTATGATTTAAAGAAACATTTGCATATGCACAAATTTGGAGTTTATTTTTACCCTTTTTAAAAATATTATTTAAATCTAAGTTAGTTAACATATACTGTAATAATGGTTTCAGGAGTAGAACCCAGTGATTCATCACTTACATACAATGCCCAGTGCTCACCCCAACAAGTGCCCTCCTTGATGCCCATCACCCATTTAGCTCACCCTTCCACCCACCTCCCTCCAGCAACCTTTAGTTTGTTCTCTGTATCTAAGAGTTTTTCATGGCTTGCCTCTTCTCTGTTTTTATCTTATTTTTCCTTCCCTCCTCCATATGTTCATCTATTTTGTTTCTTAAATTCCACATATGAGTGAAATCATATGACATTTGTCTTTCTCTGACTGACTTTGCTTAGCATAATACATTCTAGTTCCATCCACATTGCTGCAAATGACAAGATTTCATTTTTTGATGGCTGAATAATATTCCATTGTTTATATACAATATATGTATGTGTATATACATACATATCAATCACTTCTTCTTCATCCATTGATCAGTCAGTGGGTATTTGTCAGCCTAGTATTTTTACTTTTTCCCTCTTTACATTTTATTATGGAGGATAATTTCAAAATATCAGACTCTTGGTACCATTCTGTGTTTAGCGAGAACCCCCTGGTAGAACAGTCCTCAATTTCTTTTCCTCTTATTTCCTCTAGCACCTTTGTTTGTGCATCTTTCTTTCCTCTGCTCTATTGTATGAGTTTTGTCATAACAAAATCAGATATGGTACGTTATGAATAGTGAAGTCACTGTTAAAGCACATATCCTACGTCCAAGACCCCCAAGTTTGTTATTGTCAGCTTTGCAAAGGCTTTATTTAGTACGGGATCAGATACGGTTATTTTGTACATCGCCTGCTAAAGATGCAAACTGTATCTTTGACAACAAGCCTATTTTATTAAGAATAAGATTATAAAGGGGCGCCTGGGTGGCTTAGTCGGTTAAGCGTCCGACTTTCGCTTAGGTCATGATCTCGCGGTTTGTGGGTTCGAGCCCCGCGTCGGGCTCTGTGCTGACTGCCAGCTCAGAGCCTGGAGCCTTTTTCAGTGTCTGTTTCTCCCTCTCTCTCTGACCCTCCCCTGCTCACGCTGTCTCTCTCTCTCTCTCCTAGAAATAAATAAAAATATTTTTTTAAAAAAAGAATAAGATTATAAAGTTTTCAAAATGAATTTTGGTGGCAATTTAACTTCATAATAAGTACATAAATAATAAATAATAATAAATTAAAACAAATAAATAACTGTAAATCTCACTACATTTAGTCAAACTAAGTCTTTAGTGAGGTTACAAAGTTATTTTTAGGAAAGCTCCTCAAATGAGTTCAGAAATCCTCCAGCTAATAAAAAGACATCAAATCTTAGTTCTCTGGGTGTCTTAGCATCTGTAGTGGTCATAGTAGCATCAAGATCTTTCTGCGACTCGCTCATGCAAGTTCATCTATAATATGTAGATCTCCTAATTGGTCATATTTTTATTAGAGATTATTTACCATTTCTGAAATCCTAGTGATCAGAATGTAATCCTTGGTGTTTTTAATGAGAAAAATAATATGTCCCCTTCTCTCCATTTCAGTATTCAGCCAATACATATTTATATGATCAACAAAAGAAAGGAATGTTTTCAGACCTTGGGCTTGATTATTTTTTGTTTTAGATGTGACAGATTTGCTGAGCAGGGCTCACAAGTCCCTTCCTCCCCTCTTCCTCTCTACCCACTGCTACCCCCACTCAATACACACACACACACACACACACACACACACACACACACACACCTTCAAATCCCTGCACCATCTGACTGTTAATACACACATCAACTCTAGGTCACCCAGCTTTTCTGAAGGAAATTGACTCTGCTGAGTAGTCCTTTATTCTCAGTATACAGTACATTACAAGTAATAGTACTGAACTTTTCAATGCTTACAATGTTCCCTAGGAGTGTATCAGTTGAGCAGGCGAAAAAAAATATCTGGAAGTTTATTATTTTTCCACCAATATATTTGACACCACCTTTGGAGGGGGAACAAAAGGCATACTGTCAAGCGGATAGACCTGGACAAAATGTTACTGTTTGTTCCTCACGAGCACAGAGGTATATTTAAGCAAAGAAAGACATTCCATGACTCTCCTGGGACTTCCTTCCTTCAGCTGAATTATACCAACATGTTCACACCACTGTGGTTCAGACTGTGTTGGAATTTGAAATGCAGACTTCTATTTGCCAATGTTTAAATACCACAGCTATAAAAATTCATATTAGGATTGAACCTGGCCTTGAAATATCATAGAACAAATGAGAGTTTATTGGAGAAAATGGTGTGTACACATGAAATTACAGTAGAAGATACGAAAATAATGGATGTCCTTGTTTGCCAGATTCTATACTTACACAATAAAGCCTCAAAGTCACCAGAAGTCACCAGTTTTGGATTATGTTTCAAATCCAGGCTCACTGACATTCATGAAACCTTTGGCAAAACGTGGGCCAAGTTTCGAGCAAGGCTGGGTAGAATACTTCTTTCATGTGGAACCTGTGTGAAACTCAGTGGCTTTGGCTAGCTTTCACCTTGAGTTTCACATTCAAACAATCCAAAGTTTCAGAGTAAAATTAGGGGGTGAAGGGAAATAAAGAGGCAAACAAACACAAAACCTCGCAGTAAGAGCAAAACAGAAAAAGATGGCTTGCCTGAGAATGGAATGGCTGTCTATCATCTTCCAAACCCACTTCCTCTTGGTGCCACTGGATTCTGCAACTACACTTGTACGGCCTTCAATACATATCTGCACTCAGCAATGCCAAATCAGGGCTTCCTAGTACTCTGGGGGAGGAAATTCTAGACGCTCAAAGGCCCTAGGAAGCAGTGAAGCACGTGCTCAAATTAACTGGGAGATTTAAAATTCGTATGCAGAAATGTGATTGTTAATAGACTCCTTAAAAAGCAGATTTGAAAGGAAATAGGTAGCAATTAAATGTCCAACTTCTGGAAATGAAAACCAGACTGACTAGCACATCTCTAGGTTTTCCTACTAAATTCGAATTCTAGAGCTTATATTGCATCTATTCGTAATCTGAAGGGACCTCCTAACCCATAGCTTCCTCCACAGCTACCCTCCTCTGGAAACTCGTCCTGCGGCCACTTGCTTCCTTCCCAGCAAGGTGCAGAGCACAGAGAGCAGACTGTGCTCGCTGTAAGGAGCCACTGTCCTTGGCTGGGACTGAAAGAGTCTCCTGACAGGATTTGGTTCATTCTACTCCCAAACCGAACACAACACACAGGGACTGTGTGCCAGGGATGGTCACACTCAGCACCTAGCAGGGGACTTTGAAAACACCGTTTGCTTGGGTTAGGGAAGCAAAGACCCACAAAGCAATGTAATAAACACATGAGTTTTCTTTAAAGTAAAGAGAACATTTAAAAGCCTATTGAATGGTGAGAAAATGCTCCACTTGGCCAATTTTAAGAAATACATTTAAAAAAATGTCTTATCCTCATTCAGCAGATGTTTCACTAGGAGAACAGACTTTTGGCTACAAAGAGTTTTTTTTTTCTTTCTGCTTGTCCCCCCTTAGTTTTCCTTTTTAAAAATTTTCTTTCTTTCCTTTTAATCTTTTTATATTTTTAAAAGTTATCCAGAAGATCACAGTGTGTTTAAAATGCATATTTTCTTTTGACATGTGGTCTGAGATACCAATAAACTGCTTTGGAGACAAGAATCTAAATTCCAAGGATTTCAGTGTCCATGTTGAAAAAGCAAGTTGAGGCCCCCAGGCACATTGTAATTTGGAGGCAACAGGGCGCTCAAGGGAGGGGTTGATAGAGTCAGGTTGTATGCACTGTCCTTAGCAGCTTTCACACATCTGCTTGGAGGGGGCGCAGAGAGTTGTCCTCAAGTCTATATGCTGAGAGATGAGAGACCTTCCCATAAAACAGTCTTTTCCTTTGACTTGGGGCTTCCTATACAAGTAAAACCTAAGACATTATCAGTAAGGAAAACCAAAGCCCAATAGATTATTTAAAGGAAATGGTATAAAAGCATTGGAAAAAAAAAGACTTTTTACTGAGCATAGTAAATACCCACAATCAAAGTAACTGCTGTGTTTGAAGTTAAAGTCCACAGATCAAAGTACTTTGCAAAATGTCAAGCGTGAGCACAAGGAGGGGGAGAGGAGAGGCTCAGAAACCTTTCCAAAATACTGTACTGTCACGTTATAGAAGCCAACTAGCAAAAGACCTGCAGCTAGGTAAAGCCTTTTCAAAACTGAGCCGCCTGAACTGTGGCAGGAACATAAAAATTAAAAAGAAAATGAAACAAATAAAAAAGCTGTTCTGATTCCACACTAGCAGTGAACAAACCAGTGGTGCAAGAACAAAATAAGATAGAGCCACCTCATTGTCCTTAAAGACCAATTACAGTATTTTCTTGTTCAGGTGGTTGCAACCTTTTCCTTTTTTTTTTTTTTTTCTTCCGTGCCCTTAGAAAGTTAAAAATAAGTAAACAGTCTAAACAACAAAATTATGATGTCTGGACGGCCCTCTCACTGTTGGCAGTCAGGTTAATTGGAGTTCTGATGTAGCTCAGTCACAGGCGAGTATGTATCACAGGTCAACGTGACAGAAAGCTTTGAGCAAAGTTTAAAAGTACAGCCACAGAAATGCCCAGATGCCATTGCCGTATTCCGGAACACCACATTTACCTGGAAATCGTTCGCGGCCCCCGCTTGTCTTCACTGTACATGAATTATTTCAAAGACATTAGTCCAACACGTATCATAAACCTATTAAATAATTCCAGAAGAAAAAAAAAATCTTACCTACAGGCAGCTGGGCTCAACAGTTGCTCTAAACAGAGGAAGTAGGAGTCAGTGGCCTTTTACATGTAGAGATTGTTTATTTAGCCCTTTTTAAAAGGTCTTGAACTCCAGAGGTTTAAGATTAAGTCCAATCCAAGTGTCTGAAGGAAAAAAAGGAAAAAAGAAGGCAAATAAGAGAGGGAAAGAATCCCAGCTGCTGGGTGGTGCCACTGTTCTGAGAGCGTTGGAGTTATTTTCAGCATTAACAGCAGCCGGACTTGTCTGCAGAGGGATGAAAAAGCCGTGCCTGAGTCGCCACCTCCCTCCCCCTTTCCCCACGTGGTGGGGGGCGGGGGGCATGAACCAGGAAACCCACAACAGCTTGGTTCACCATACAAATACTCATCTAAATTGTGAGGAAAACTGCCAGCGCTACCGAAAACGACAACAACAAAAAACTTGACTGAAATCTTAAAGACACACAGCGCCTTGCTATAATCCTCCAGCTTTCAGAATGTCTTACCTGATTTATTGAAAATAAGGTGTTCATTTATGCCTTATTGAGAGGGAAGGTGTTTCTTCTCATGACTACTCGCTTCTGTGGGTCTTAGAAAATATTTTAGATTTCTCTGAGGAACGTCTGTGGTCACCCTATCCTTCTTAAGACTGAAGACAAATGGTTTATTTCTAGCATGCACCTAAATTTCCAGTTTCATCAGCTATGCTATTTTTGAAAGCTACTGAGTTAAGCTGTTGACATTTCTTATCAGTTGGCAGAGACTGAGACCATTCAGTGACATGATGCAGACAGACACGGGTCCCTTGCTTCTGCTTCCAAAGGAGTAATTGAGATTGGGTCACCAACAATGAGCAGCAGGCTCTGAGCTTTCACTTTATTTCTAGAATTATTAATTAAGATCTAGAAGTGCTGTTCATTCATTCAGCGATTTATGTGGCCAGTACTTCCGAGGCTCCTGTGTGTCACACGTTGTGAGAATAACAAGAGTGAGCAAAATAAACAGGGTCCTTGCCTCAGAATGTTCACAGCACACAGAGGCAGCAAGACTAAAGAATACAGAGAATTTGTTACAATCTTTTACAGACTCTCTGTCACATGAGGAGACTCTTCAAATCATAGCAACTGAAGATTAGGATTTCTTTCTACCATGAAGATGAAGGAAGATGCTATGGGTGGCCATCAGACCAACTTCTGGCTTCTGTGGCTTTGCTGTGCCTTTTACAGCACCCCTAAGAAGGAAAATTTGTTACTTCCAACCCGAGGAAACACTTAAGTATTTTCTTAAAAGCCTTTATGCTATGTGTATGAAATCCCCGAATTCTTTCGAATTCCTACTCCTGTAACGTAGAGAATGCTTAGGAGAGAGAAAGTACTGCTAGGAGGAGGTGGAAGAGAAGAGTCTCAAATCCTCAGTCCAGTGTGAAAACCACGCGGACATTTCTTATAATGGATGTACTAGAGGCTCAGAACAAGTCCAACTGTTTCTTTACAATTAAAGAAAGACACTGAAACTGATGATAGAAATACTGAAGATTATATATTATACATTAAAAAAAAGGTTACATGACTGCTATTTCAAATATTGTGATAAAATAGTGAAATCTTTCTGCTACCCTACACTATAAAACTGCATGGATGGGGTGCCTGGGTGGGTCAGTCGGTTAAGCGTTCAATTTCAGCTCAGGCCGTGGTCTTGAGGCCTGGGTCTGTGAGTTTGAGCCCCACCTCAGGCTCTGTGCTGACAGCTCAGAGCCTGGAGCCTGCTTTGGATTATTCTGTGTCTCTCTGTTTTTCTGCTCCTCCCCAGCTTGTGCTCTGTCTCTCTCTCTCAAAAATAAACAAACATTAAAAATATTAAAAAAGGACACATTTAAATTAAAAAAGAACTATAACTTATGTTTGAAATATCTAATCAAAATTTCAAAATAAAAGCAGCTTTGTTTTCAAAATACGTAGCAGAATTTTAAAAATTTCTATGGAATCATGTATTTTTCTGTTCATTTACTTTAAATGGCCACATTTTACTATGTCACAAATGCCTGCCAGTTTAAAGAGGGATACTTGATTGCCCAAAACAAGAGATGGGAATTCTGGCAAATCCTAGCCTTAGATACAAATTATTTTTAATTGTTTTTCTTTTTCCTCTGTATAGTAGTATAATGAAAAGAAAAATACATGTAAAAACTGGCTGTCTTGGGAAACTATGGAAGTTAATGAAATGAAGACCACCAAGCCAGCCATTACCTTTAAATTCCAAACTGCCTGCTTCCCACACAGATGTGGACAGAAACCCATTGCCTCGTGTTTAACTATTACTGGAATCATTTTACATTACAGTCTGCATCTAAACGAACAGGCTCTGACCCTCCCAGCTGCTTCCATTCAGGATGAGCCCTGTCTTGAGGCAGGACTCACCAAGGTCCCACTGGTCCCCAGAGATCCCAACTGGCCAAACAGCTAGGCAGTTAGCACCTTTCAACAGATTTGATGTCACAGAAGAAAGAGTGTAAGTTGGACTTGACGTATTTCTAAAAATTAGAGGGTAGCATTTTTGGTCTTTTCTACTCACCCAAACACTATGACTTTCATAAGCGACAGATGTCATAGTGACTGTACTAATAATATGAACGTTAATGATTTTATTATATTTTTTCTCTCTTTAATTTTTGTTGTCACAAAAAAAAGATTTAAAATAATTGGGGATGCTTCTATTGGGGTGGGCTTCCTATATTGGTGAAACAATACATAGAGCTTTGGCATAACCCCTCCTATGTAGAAAATGTAGAAACAGGGTTGTGGTAGGTCTTATATAACACTGTACATAAAATGCTTAACTGAGTAATGCCTGACACATAGCCAGCACTCAATACAAATTAATACTATTATCACTGTTCTAAGTCTAGAGCTTTGCTGTCCAGTATGGTGGCTACGTGGGCTATTGAGCACTTTATCCTGTGGCTAGTCAAAACTGAGATGTTGTATAATTATAAACTGCATGTGGAATTTTGAAGACTTAGTGTGAAAAAAGAATGTAAACTATCATATTTTTTATATTGATTATATTTTGAAATGTTAATACTTCAGACATACTAGGTTAAATAAGGTGTTTGATTAAAATGAATTTTAGCTGTTTAATTGTATCTTTTAAGATGTGACAACTAGAAAACTTTAAATTATTTATGCGGCTTGCCTAGCTGCACACTGCCATCTAGGCCAGTGGTTCTCAAACTGATAGCAAGCATCAGAGCTACCTGGAAGGCTTGTCAAAGATTTAGCCAGATCCCATCCCCAGTTTCTGATTTAGTAGGTTTGGAGAGAGGTCTGAAATTCTGCATCTCTAACAAGTCTCCAAGTGATTCTTTTTTTCTAAAAAAAAATATTTATTTGAGAGAGAGAGCATGCATGCAAGAAAGCTGGTATGTATGTTCATGCATGGGTGAGAGGCAGAGAGAGAGGGAAAGAGAGAGAAGGAAAGAGAATCCCAAGCAGTCTCTATGCTCAGCAGCTAGCCAGATGCGGGGCTCAATACCATGACCATGAGATCACAACCTGAGCCAAAATCAAGAGTTGGATGCTTAACCGACTGAGCCATCCAGGCGCCTTATCAAATGGCTCTTAACCACACTTTGAGAACCACTGGTCTTGAGCCTTGCTACTTAAAGAGTAGTCCATGGACCAATATCAAAGTCATCACTTGGGATCTTGTAGGAAATGTGAAATCTCAGGCCTCACCCATACCTACTGAGCCAGCAAGTCCATTTTAACAACATCCCCAGATTATATGTGTGCACATGGAGATTTGAGAAAAACTAATATATTGTAGTGACTCTCATTCCTAGGTACATATGAGGCTTATCTGGAAAATTTAAAAACTTATCAGTACACTGGACCGATCTCTAGAGTTTGCTTTAACTAATCTGATTGAAACCCTACATATCTAAAAAGCTCCCCATGTGACTCTAACATAAAAGCAGGCACTGAGAGTTTGGTGGGTGGTGGGGCCCTCAGGCCAGATGCAGAGGAGCAGGATCCAGAAACCTGGAAGGGCAGTGAGGGGCTGATGTTTGGGGATTGTCAGATGCTGGGAGAACAAGACCTGAACAGACCGGAGCTGGTGGAAAGCACACAGTGGAGTTGGGTGGGTTGCAGCCGGGGAGGGTGAAGGGTGGGGGAAGACTGGCAGGAGGTGTTCCTGGCTTCTGCAAGTCTGACAGAAGCCCCCAGCCGTCCCAGGTGTGGAGTTGGAGGGAAGACTAGATAAAGAAGAGCATAGCCTCGGTCTCGAGGAGTTAGAACACTAGCCCAAGGGTTGTATGAGCAGAGATGTAGGCTCAAAAAACAAGACCGGGATCTAGTTAGAAGAAAACTGGTGTAAGTCATGAGTGGGACCAGCGGCCATGCTAACAGAGTTTCTTAAATTCTATAGGGACGGGATTGGCTTCAGAGGCTGGATCTGGAATAATCTTTCAGAGATGAGGAGGCAAAAGAATGGACGGAAGTGTTGAAAGTCAGTTTAGTTGTACTCCTTTCTTTGTGTGCAAAAATAGTTGAGACTGTTCTAAGTGGTGGTCAGATTAAAAACAATGCCTGCTAAGACCTCGTTGACATAGACCACACTGCCCCAGAGGATATCTGTATCTCAAAGGAGGATCTTGGTAAGTGAAGTAACTCTCTATTGTTAGAACCTGGAGGAAGATTCGTTCTGAAGTAGAGAAACCTTCTGAAACACCTTTGTTTCACCTTTAAATAACTGAACACCGTATTCAGAACCATCTCCCCTGTTTGCCAAACTACCCCTCACGTTTTAGGTGGCATCAGAGCCCTTTGTGCTCCAGAGGGCTTCAGAAAAGTAAACTCCTCGCTGGAGCAGAGAAGACGGCCCCACAGCGATAATATTTAAAACTCCTAATTCTGAATGCAGAGACCATCTGTAGGTTCCCTTCTCGCTTTATTATTTGGTTGTTTCAGAAGACATTAAACATGTGTACTGCTTAAAACCGAGTCTGGAGCCAGAGTGTCTGGGTTTGAATACTGCTCCTGCCATTTTCCTCTGACCATAGGCCTATTACTTCACCTTCCTGTGCCTCAGTTTCCTTCTCTGTCATAGGACCTCATTGGGTTGTTGCGAGGATTAAAGGAGTGGTCTGAAAAGAATGTGGAAAAGTCTGGCACATTGTAAATGCTATTGTTGGCTTAACAATGAAATCATAGTAAAACAACTGCAGGCTCCCATGTATGGTCAAAT